AAAACTTAAATGTTAATGTTATTTTTTTTTTTTAAGTTAAAGTGACGACATGATATTGTAAAATCCTTAGTCTTTGAAAGTTATCTCGGTGAGAGCTCGAGAGCCTGAAGAGCTAGAATCTACTATGAGAGGGGTGCCATGGGATTTGGGGCGATGCTGTTGATTCTCAGCCTTAACATCGCCACACCTACTTGAGTGCTACGTCGTCATCATCATTATCCGTGCAGGGTGCAAGCGCGCTCGCTTCCAGGGAGCACAGGGAACATGGGCTTCCCACACGGGGGGGGGGGGGGGGGGGGGGGGGGGGGGGTCGTCTACTCGTCTGTAGATGACCCGAGGTATGTTGGGGCACCAGGGACTTCCTTTCTAGGGTATACCTGATTCCCCGGCTATTAGTACCCGGAGACGGCGTGCGGTTTTAGTCGGTTCGAGTCCGACATGCCACCGATAGGTGGTATCCGAGGGGATTTCCGCACGGAAAAAAAAAAAAAGGGTGCTTGGGCGGATCGGTGCAACGAGTCCTTCGCTTCAGAAGGGAACATGGACACTACAATTCCGTCAATAGTTCTAGTTGAAGACAATAGGTCAATTGGGTTGCTTACAGACGTAGTTTTCCCAGAAAATAGAGTCGAACCCATAGATGAGTCCAAAATCTATAGCCCTAGTCTTCTTATTGGTAGTTTTATCGCCTCTGGAAGGGTTCTCTTGACAACCCCCATAACATATATTAAGCTCTATCTGACGAAATGCAGCATCATCTGAGCGACGTCTTCTGTTGAACCTGAAATACTCGCGTTATTCTCGAAGCCATGGCTAGCTTCCACGGCAAATAATGACACTGCCTTAGACACGTAACAATAGACAAGATTTAATACACTTTTTATCCCTCGATAAAGCTTAAATTCATTTAGTTTTTCATCTAAACCTCTTTGTTATAAACGTAAACAAACTTTTTACACCAACTGGTCTGTTTTTCTATGTCCCATTTCAGTGAAGGTTAAAAGAATAAAGGAATAGAACAAAGCTAGCTGAGCAGTCGCGAAAGGTGAAAAATGGTGACATAAAACACAAAAAGAAATAGATTATGTTTACCGAATGATTAGACGAACTTCATCACTATCATCAACAGCCTTAAATAGTCCACTGCTGGGCATAGGCCTCTCCTTAGAAAGGTGGTTTTGGCCTCCTATACCACGCAAGCCAGACCGGTTGGTAGAGGGTTTGTTTTGTAACACTGCTATTGTCCTGCGTAGTTTGCTCCTTAAGTCGGCTCTTACGACACCCACGGAATGAATAGGGGTGGTGACTCTCCGTATTCTTAATCCGTAGAAGAACTTGCTTGAAAATAAATATTAACATGACACGAAATTATACTACGGCCGAATGGAGTAGTATTTTGTGTAAAGGACTAGCTACTCCAAAGGTCGCGGTTACGATTTCCGCCCAAGTCTAACATTTAATGTTTCATTTGGTCTGGGTGTTTCTATGTATAATATGTATGAATTAAACAAAAAAACAGTATTTATGTATTTATCAGTTGTCTAGTACCCATAGTACAAGCTCTGCTTAGTTTGGGACTAGATGGCGTTGTGTGAATGTGCTAGAATATTATTTTATGATATTATTATTATATTATATTTTGCGTAACTCCTCATTTAAGTTCCATATTTTCTACTCCCAATATTCCCATAAAAATGCCTAGTTGACGATAAGACTGGCTCCCTATTACCTAAGTGGGAATAAATTATTTGCCTCTGCCTACTCCTCGTGGATATTGGCGTAAGAACTTGGTTATTATGTCGATTTTTAAGATTTTTGCAAATCCGGCTGCTGCAGAGATTAGTGTTCTACCAAAAAAACACTTCGGCGTTATTCTATTCGTACAAAAAAACAACAAAAAATATTAGACCGTAGCTTTGGTGTCGGTGCCTTTGCAGCTTATTTACTTGAAATTGAAACAGACAAGTTCACAGTATTATAGTATACCTTGCAGGTGTCGGTTGTATTGTTCGTTCTGTGGTTGCAAGAAAAACTGTTTTTTGTTACATTTAAAGTAAAACTTAAACTTTGTAATGATTGTGAAGTTAAAGTGAGATTAGGCGGTCTCCGGACAGTTGCCGACGTTGTTTCTTTTTGGTTTGGATAAGCAGATCTGTGGCGAAGATGTGCAGCAGACATGTAAGAAAACTTTTATATTAGTTTAAAAGCAACTTATATATTTTTTTAAATTTCAATCTTGTTTTCCTTTTAATTGTCGTCAAAAACGAGGTAGTTCTCAATTCGATTTCTATTTTTACGTTTGTTACCTCACAACTCCGTCTCTATTTTTGTATTTACATAACTTTATGCACACTTCCGTGTGGTGACGGATTAAGAATACGGAATGTCACCACCCCTATTCATCGCGTGGGTGTCGTAAGAGCCGACTAAGGGAGCAAAACAACGCAGTACACCAGCACTGCAATAAGAAGGAAAACTTGACACAAACCCTGTACCCGTCTGGCCAACGTGGTATAGTAGGCCAAAACCTCCTTTCTAAGGAGAGGCCTATGTCCAGCAGTGGACTATAAAAGGCTGTTGATGATGATGATGATGATGCACTTTTGTAAATCGGCAGACTTAATGCCCAGGGCATTCTCTTTTTGTCAACCTTTGGATGGTGTAGAAATCGTAAGTGGTAGGCGCACATAGGTTACATTACTATTCAACTAAAATATACACTAAACCACACTACATACATAAATTTATATACAAATATATATACACTTCATACATATTTATAGATAGTTCAACTCAGTTGTGCGCGCGGCCCTATGTGTGCGTGGGCTTGTAAATATACAACTTTCATTCGTGTGGCAGTGACGCGGCAGTCGGACGACGACTGCCACACGAATGAAAGTTGTATATTTACAAGCCCACGCACACATAAGGCCGCGCGCACAATTGAGTTGAACTATCTATACATTATTTTCGTACACTATGGTAATAAGGAAATTTGTTGCTGCACTATCGATAAGTTGATTCTACCATTTCATTAAGACTGCCGGACTGACTCTATTTGACCCCCCGCGGTGGTTCAGTGGTAGGGGGTCTGAGGGGTCGGACCAAATGTTTGTGTGATCTGCAAAATATTTGTTTCAACAACAACAAGGAAAAAATGGACTAATAATGATAATATATCGCTTTATTGTACACCAGATATAAATATAGAACAATTATCTTAAACTAGGTTAGTACAAGTGGCGGCCTTATCGCTCAGAGGCAATCTCTTACAGGCAACCGTGGTTTGGAGAGAAAACATGAACGGGAGGAGGTATTGGGTAGTGGCTGGTGTGTTCATCATCATCATCATCAACAGCCTTTACTAGTCCACTGCTGGACATAGGCCTCTCCTTAGGAAGGAGGTTTTGGCCTACTATAAAACGCTGGCCAGACGGGTTGGTATAGGGTTTGTTTCAAGTTTTCCTTCTCTCTGCAGTGCTGTTGTCCTGCGTAGTTTGCTTCCTTAGTCGCCTCTTACGCCTTTGCTGGTGTGTTAGGAAATAGAAAAGAAGATGAAATCAAAGTAGTATATACATAGCTATATGTGATAATTACACATAGTATCTATTTGTTGGACTACGGTGAGTATATAACATACTAGAGAGAATATACTATGTGCTGAACATGGCTAGTGGTGTTATTCGATACATATAATTAAATAAATATGTATGATTATTAAGTTCTAAATACATATGTTATAAGAAATAATGTGACCTTGTCGACTTATCTAAGTATTCTATCAGTCAATCTAGCTTTCATGGAACAATCTCTGCTTAGTTTGAAACTAGATGGCGTTGCGTGTCAGATGTTTGAAATTTTCGTTCTTAAAATATTACCCTTAATAGTGACAAATAAAGGTATGAAGTATGTACTTTGTTACAAAACATCACGATGTAAGCTTGTTTAAGTATGTGATACTACTTTAAAAAAAAAATTTCCCCAATAGTAACTTAGATCTAAGATTTAAACTTTATAATCGCTAATCAAACTTCTAGCCTCTTTTTCACCCCCTTCAAGAATAATTTCTGGGATAGGAACTATGTCCTTTCCTGGCACTCGAACTATCTCTACACCAAATTTCATCTAAATCGATTCAGCGGTTTAAGCATGTAGAGGTTACAGACAAACAGACAGATCTCACAACTGTCATAAAAGGTATTTTCGTAGTAAAATTGTATTACAAGACTAGCAGATTACCGATTCAATTTTCGGTTACAATACGATAAAATCACATTACGGTCTACGTTGGATGTTTAATACTTTACTACGAAAATACCATGAATGACAGTTTTGAGATCGAATGTTGATAGGAACTGAATTGAGACCGAACTTTTATTACGAGAATTGGTTCTGGTTGCCATAGTAAGCAGCCGCGGCCGTGTGTGGGATGTTTCTGGGAAATTATTATTAACATCTACGTAAAAGAATCAGTAGTAAAAGTTTTAAATTATAACATTACATTTTATTTACACATATTTTATACAACTAGTAGTAGTAGTAGTTGACGCATGAAATAATATCTTTAGAAATATCTCGTTTCATGATACAGATACATCAACACAAATATACGTATATAATATTTTAATGATCCGGTACACATTATTATAAATTTAATGAACTATTGCCATAATTAAATACTCATTTTTAAAATTATTGGCTCCGCTAATGTGTCGAACACAATATAAACAAGTACGGGTGGTTCGTATCAATTCGTCATTGATCGTATGCGTCCGTTGTTCCCTTTCTCTTTCGCACTCATTGGAATTGCAATCGCATCACCTTATCGAATTTCCGTGACGCTTCTTCTTTCCCTCACACGACTAGTCCAGCAGTACTTATTTTTAGATTGTGCAGTGCAGACGTGTCGCATCAAACAAGTTATCGGTGTTTTTTTTTCTATATCTACATAAAAGAATTAAACGTTGAGACATTACTACATACGTGATATCCTTGTGATAATGGCGAAGGTAACATTTTTGTTATTTTTTTTTGTACATGTTTTTATTGTAGCTGTTACGAATAATAGCGACTTCTCTCACGACCATCGTACCACCCGGTGACGTATTGTCTGTAAGATAACTGTTACGTTATTTATTATATCATTTTATTGACTTTCCTAAAATATATTTACAGTAAAAAAATACAATGTAATCGTGATACATTTACAAATGGTTAACTTAATAAAAGTCAATGAAATATATAGAATAAATAGTTATAATTTTTACAAATCTTTCTCGAACAGTAACATGTATTAAGTAAATAAACATATGTTTAGTTTGTCAATAAAACTACATTTTTATCAAACGTTAACAAACGCTTTATTATTATATATTTAAAACTAAAATTTGTAAGTATTTAATACTTAAGTTACTAGAGCATAACAGTATGTTTTGCATTGCAAATAATAAACATGGTACCTCTCTATCTTGATATCTGTGCCAAAATCAATAATTTCTAAAAAAAACACCACGTTGCCATACTTTTACAATTTCCCCGACAAGCACTGTGACGTATCAATCACCATTGTCTTTTGGAATACAGCCTGCATCCGAGTAAAATCTAAAAGGGGGGCAATATCTTGTTTAGTTGCGGTAATAAATTCTGTATAACTTACTTGTATATTTGTTATAAATATACATACAAGTAAGATAATTTTCCTAGTAATACTCATTCACAGTTAACAAAATCAAGTAGTATTGTTCTATAGTTATTATAGACTATTAGGTGCAGTAAACAATGAATCAAACTGAACATTACTGCTGTCTTTGTCTTTATAGTTTTAATAAAAAGCGCAGAACAACAGAATATACATACGTTATTCTTTTTATTATATGGAGCACGTCACTCGACAGTTTCAATTTATAACAATAACTTTGCAAGTTCATGGATCTGTTTTTATAGGTATATAACCTTTTTGCTTCCTTTTCTTTGGATTCTTACCATCCCAATAGTTCTTTTTTACTTTATTCGGGTTAATCAATAAAGTGTTATATGGTAACCCCAGTTGTCACAAGGTTTGACGCATCTAACGTCTTGTCGTCTTATCAGTTGTCAGTCAAGTTTTAAATATTTTGGTTCGTGTAACTTATATCGTAGATGTGATAAATTTGTTGAGTTATTCATGTCCGCTATAAAGAATCTAATCTTGCGAGCCAAAAATACATACAGAAAAGCCTTTACCATGAGAGAGCCCAGTCCAAAGGTAGGTTTTCATATAAAAATCAATAAAATACGCCTACAAAAGAGCGCTGCTCGCGCAGAGTTGAGATTACTGTTTATTCCAGAAATAACCTCTGAATAGTGTTACAGTAACTATAGGAGCACCCGAAAAGGGTTTAAATGCAGCATAGCTGAGTTTTTGTGATGATTGTTGGGTGTTTTGAGGTTATTTCGGTTGTTAATTAGTTTTACTGTAAAAATCGTGAGCCACTCATTAAAGTATACATGTAAAGTCTAGAACATGAGTGCAAGTGTGTATAGTAATGAATATTGATTATAATTAAACCATAGTGTTGTTTGCTTTTTAATAATTACTATACTTATTATGTAACTATATTATGTTTAACTGTTTTGTTTTTTTTTCCTTCTGCTCAAGAGTCGCAAGTAAATAAACAAATAAATATTTCGGACAACTTACACACAACGCCATCTAGTTTTCAACTAAGTGTGTAAGTCCCATCCACCTAGAATCAGCGGAAGAGGGTTTTAGCTCCGGAAAGCTTACTCACTCGTTGAAAAGTCATGGAAGAATTGCCTAATACAGGTTTTCTGAGCCAGTGGAACAACTCTGGTCGAGCCTGTTCTTAGAATTGGTTTAACCCTTAAAATTTAATAAATGTAGTAACAATAATAAATTTCCTACATCTTACACGTGGCTGTCTGAAACTAGGCAGGTAGGAACCTGTGCAATGATACCTAGACTGATGATAAACGACGACCGGATGGCGTAGTGGCTTATGTAACGGACTGCTATTTCAAAGGTTGTGGGTTTGATTTCTGCTCAAGTCAAACATTTGTGTGCATGAAAATTAAATGTTTGATTTGGTCTGGGTGTTTTTATGTATAATATGAATGCATTTAACAAAAAAATGTATATAGTATGTATTTATATCAGTTGTCTAGTACCCATAGTACAAGCTCTGCTTAGTTTGGGACTAGATGGCGTTGTGTGAATGTGTTAGATTATTATTATTAAAAACATATTTTAATATTTCAAAAACATGTACATATAGATAAATTATACCTAGACACAGAACAAATAGATCATATATTATAATGTATTTACATTTCAATCCTAGGGTATTGAAATGTAAATATTAATTAATTCCTTGGAATTACAAAGTATATGTTGTTGTTGTAGGTGTGTTGGTTATTGCGCATCTTAAAATGAGTTCTGTGTAACCTGACAGTAGGTGACTTGGAAATTAGGCCGGGGGGTGACAGGTGAGGCCATCTGTCACCCTAGCAGAAGCAGGCCGGGGTGGCGGCGAGCGCGTTGCGAAGCGCGCTCGCTTCCAGGGAGCAGAGGGAACATGGGGTTCCCACATGGTGGGTTGTCTACCTGTTATTGTAGATGGCCCGAGGTATGTCGGGGCCCCAGGGACTTCCTTTCTAGGGTATACCTAGTTCCCCGGCTATTAGTACCCGAGACGGCGTGCGGTTTTAGTCGGTTCGAGTCCGACGGTGGTATCCGAGGGGATTTCCGCACGGAAAAAAAAAAAGGTGTCTTGGAAATTATACCAATAAAGAGAGAGGCCTTCTTCCTTCTCATAAAGCAACACATTACTGTACAATTTTCAATGGTTTCGGCTCCATTATTCATGTTGTCAGCCATTTTGATTGTTCACCTTACCGTATCAGCATTTCGTTGTACTCTGGGGTTTTCCCTCTTTTTATAAAAGTAAATTGCTAAATCATTTCAAAGGATTTATTTAGGATTAGCCATTTACTGCATTCTCACTTATGTTTGTTGTCACTGCTCTGCTTCTAAGGGCCACAGCGTAATCTTTCATATCTTATATTGTTGCTCAATAAATGCTCTAGAAAATACAAAATGACTCATCAAAATCTGAATAATGGTTTCAGAGATTAGCGCGTTCAAATAAACTTTTCAGCATTTATGAATTATGACATACGTAATAAGAATTGGATTCTTTAAAGTTCTAGTTATTATTCATAACTAGTAACTCAAACCTCCCAAAACGCCAAAACCTCCTTTCTAAGGAGAGGCCCATGTCCAGCAGTGGACTATTAAAAGCTGTTGATGTTGATGACTATGATGACTAGCAACCCAACCTGGCTTTGCTTGATCTTTTGAGGAATAATTTCCTAATTCATTTTTTTTAATTACCTCTTATTGGTTTTGCATTGGTTTACCACATTTTGCCAATCCTACTTATGTAATGGAGCAATCATTTTGACGTCAAACAGCTTCTTCAGGATATGCGGGAATGTGAAAACTTGAAACAATGAAATGGAAGGTAGAAAAGGTATATTGCTTATACGAATAGAGTGGAGGATGAGAGCAAGCAAGCATCAGGTGACCCGTCTGCTCGTTTGCCCCCTATTCCATAAAAAAAGGCTTCTGGACGATAACTGGCTGGAGCGCCTCCACGGCAGCAAAACCAGCACGTGGAGCCTCCAGCCGGGATGACCAACGAACCATCTTGGCTTGGGGAGTGGCTTCACGCCACTCGCGTACCTTACTTAGTCGATATAAATCAAACGGAGGAGGGCTGAAACAAACCCTAAACCAAGGTATAGGGTTGGTTTCAAGTTTCCCTTGTTTTTGCAGTGCTGTTGTCCTGCGTAGTTTGCTTCCTTAGTCTGCTCTTACGACACCCACGTCACGAATAGGGGTGGTGACACTCCATATTCTTAATACGTCACCACACGGACTAGTATATGTTACATGTAATGATGTGAGCAATTGACTGTGCGACCCTTGATATACAAGTTTAATTTTAGTCCCGCGACGGCTCAATGTTTTTTGGTTTCAAAATTGCCTATGTACTTTTATATGTGGCAATGTGTACGCAAAAATTTCATGCTGATGGGTTGAGTAAATACGGAGTGAAAGCGTAACAAATAAACAGATAAAAATGCGACTCTCTGCGACTTGATAGTCAGTGGAGTACTACCACTGAAGAGATAAAGGTTTTGTATTGACGTGTTTTTTCATTACTTTTAGTTGTAACGAATTAGTCATCGGATATGACGCCGTTACAAGGTCAGTGTGTTACTGCGTTTGTGAATTGTGACGCGTAATCTATGCTATATATTTCATAACTCTGTACTAATTAATAGAGAACAGCCTTTAGAGCTGTGTATGTGAACGTTTGATTTGATGTATGTTTGTCACTCAATTACTCCAAAACGGCTTAACGGAATTGGATAAAATTTAGTACAGTTACAGATGGTAGTCTAAAATTTGATGTAGGTCATTATCTAGGAAAGATTGAATGTAGTTAGTTAATATGTATAAGAAGATGACTCGTGTCTGTCTGTCTAAAGAAGTAAAGTATTCCAAGGTCTACCCTGGAGAAAGATTAGGCTACTTTTATTTTGCGAATATAAAACTTGAAAATTGTTAACAAGGTAGAATTATTTTTTTATAGAAGAGGGCTTTATGAGCAGGTTCGTTCGCGTTTAGTTCGCTGTTTAATGGTTAACATTCGATTAAGAATTCATATACATCGCCTGACTTATTTTCTACACAGCCCTCATGGCGCCAACCTGACGCAGTCTTGGCACCTTGAACGACCTTCACTTAACCGACTAATATGTTACAACAAGTATAAAATAAAGAATATAGTTTAAAATAACTAAAATACACGTTTTTTAGCTAGCCGACCTGAAAAGTAGGATTTTTTTCCGTAAGTACAAAAAGGAAAATAATTTTATCGTAAAAAGAACGTGGGGTGCTATATCTCAATTGTTGTAAAAATATTTTATTGACAGATATTGG